GCTCTGCCCTTGCCAGCAAGGCAGCTTGCTACTCAAAAAAAATGAAGCCTGGAAACGCCTGATGCTCAGTAGCTCCTTTTCTGCAGGCAGGGGCAGTAATCAGGAGCGAGCGAGCTGCTGATCCCGACGGCCTCAGCGCGTGCAGCATCCTTTCTGCTAACGCAGGCAGCCGAGAAAGCAGGAGGAGCAGCCTCCTTTGCAGGGAGCGAGAAGGACTTCAAAACCCCAGTGTGCCTGATGATCTGCTGTGCTGGAATGAGTCACGGAATGAATTTGGTGGGCACCAGCATCCCTGCTGTTCATGTGATTATAGCTCATTTGAGAGCATCATGCCCTCTCCCCGCAAGGAATTTGTCATTTCTGAAGGCACCGCATGAATCTGCTCCCCGTTGCCTCCTTGGCTGGCCGGCGGTGCCACCGGCGCTGCCTCCATCTCTCCGCCCAGACTTTGGCGCGGAGAAGCGGCAGGCAGACGTGCTCTTCCTGCAGAGGAGCTTGCTGGGGAGACACGGCGCAGCGTGGGCCAGCAGCCCGAAGAGCCGCTCTTAAATAGCATGGGAGCCAGCCCAGGACCCCCACAGCAAAGCCAGCCACGCCAGGAGAAGCTATCGGGCTCTGCTCACACGCACCCGTGTTCCAGTTCAGCAACAGCGCTGGCTTGAGGCACCTCTGCTCGCTGCTGCGTGGTAAGGAGCAGCACAGAGCACCCAGCATCTTCCCCCAATGGTGCACGCACACACGTACACCTGGAAATCCGGGGAGGTTTCGTGGTGGGAAAGGAGAGAGCATTCCCCTCTGCCATTTCCCAAGCAGTACATGCCGTACCTCGCCAGGGAGGAGAGCACTGCTGCCTGCTCGTTGTCTTTCTCCACCGCCGCAGCCCTGCTCAGCCCGAGCCCAGCAGGAAAACAAGGACATTACAACCACCACCGAAGGGAGGCTTTATAAATGGCAAATGAAAGGGGCATGAAAGCCTCCCTGGGGGGAAAATTCCTCCCCATGAAACGGCAGGAGCAGAAAGGGCACGTTTGTGAACTGGTTTGGGGTTAGCAGCAGCCCTGCAGGGGGGCGTGAAATACTTGTGTTGTGTTTGAAACTGCAGGAGCAGGGTGACTGCCCCAAAAGCTGGTCCCTTGCGGAAACTATTTACGGCTACATCTGTTTCCCCTTCCATTCTTGAGCAAATTGTACCGGGCACCCCAAGAGAGCAGACCACCGGCTGAGCTAAGTGCTGCAAAGGGTAATTACCACAGCCCAAATCACCAGGTCTGGAGGGGGAGAAATCCACGCTCCCGCCTCGAGAGGCAGCAGCACCCGGAGACCTGAGGCTGCGCAGCCCCTGGGGATGCTGTAGATGGTAATTGCCCCTGATCACAGACACTGCAGAAGGCAGTAATTTAGAGAAGAGAAATTGCTTTCATCAATTGCTTCATGATGAAAGGCACTGTGCTACAGACTTCCAGATGCCACCCCATGACAGTAGAAAGGGGGCTCATTTCCCCTTGGGGTGGGAAAGGGTGACTGGAGCCACACTGCACCCCTAATGACACAGAAGGGGATGGGACGAGGCACAAGGAGGGGAGTTCTGGGCACTTATCTTCCTGCTGTAGCAGAACAGCCAAGGTGGCCTGGTGGCTGTTTGGGACAGACTGTTAACACAGAGCCATCCATGCCACCTCCTGTGCCCCCGGTGCCAGCACGCAGGCAGGAGCCCAGCCTGCCCTGCTCCTCCAGCCCCACCTTGGTAAACAGCCCTCCAGGACGAGCCCCCCCTTCTTCATCCGTGCTCCGCCTTCAACTCGCCTCTCCTGAAAACAGGCAGTCCTGGGACAAGGTCTCATAAATGGATGCGACCAAATCCCCATCTTACCCAAGGCATCTCAGGAGGGTGCCTGCCTTCCCCACAGCAGGGCCGTGGCGGTGGCGCTGGCCCATCTCACCACTACTTTGATAGGACAAGAGGAAACAGCCTCAAGTTGCACCAGGCGAGGTTTAGATTGGATATTAGGAAAAATTTCTTCACTGAAAGGGTTATCAGGTGCCAGAGCGGGCTGTCCAGGGAAGTGGTCGAGAGTCACCACCCCTGGGGATATTTAAAAGATGGGTAGATGTGGCATTTAGGGGCGTGGTTTAGCAGTGGACAGCTACAGTCGGGCGTGATGATCTTAAAGGTCTTTGCCAACCAAATGATTCTATGATTCTACTGAGCCACGCAGGTCTGTCTCTTCAGCATGTGCCAACACATTAGTGGGGTTTTTTTAGCAGAAGTCCCTGCTCTGAGCAGAGCGCAGGCCAGGTCAAGCCCCTCAGCCTCAGTCTTGTATGACCAGTGCCTTGCTGCAACAGGAAAATCAGGCACATTGCCAGGGCTGGAAGGAGCAACCTTCCCTTCCAGGCGAGGGAACACCAGCGTGACCTGTACTGCGCTTCCCTGGGGCTTGGTGACACCACGGCCCTGCTGCTCACAGAGCCAAGCACCTTGAATTAGATTCACTTGAGTTACAGGAGCTGAATTCACAGCGCACTGTGCTGAGCCCCGAGAGCCACCGAGCGGCCATGCCCACGAGCTGCAGGCAGGCGTTCCCATCTGGCTGGATATAGGCATATTTGAAACTTGTAATCTTAAACCTTAAATCCCCAAGGGTAAATAAAAAAGGGCACACATCTGCTCCCTCTTTTTGGCATGCCTGTGATGCAAGGTGGCTACAAGCTGCCCCACAGCATGCAGAACAAATAGGGCACACCAGCACATAGCACCCTCACGCCCCCCCGTCATCCCACAGCGGTAGGACGAGGCAGCCCCACTGCAGCAGCCCACCGATGTCCTCATAGTCAAGATGGAGAGGGGAAAGATTTCCACTGTCTTTGGGGTAAGTGGAAACAGGGTATAGGAGAGCACAGCAGAGCCCTGAGCCAATTCGTATCCTGAACTGGTCGCCTTAGGCAGACCTGACTGGTAACCACAGGCAGCAGCTAGGCCAACAAGGTGAAGGCAAGTTAACGCGACGGGAAAAGCCCTGTTCTGTCCGCCTCAGCACTCTGCACGTGATGAGAAAGTGCAGTCTGTGTCACAAGGCTAAGAGAGGTCACCGAGTACCCCAGTGAGCGCAGTTAGGGGTACCACAGCCCCCGGAGCAGCGCTGGGCGCGCACACCTCCACGCACAGACGTGCAACACGTGCTGACGTGCAATACCTGGTACCCTGAGGTTCTGCAACTTCAGCTCTTGGGGTGCCACACGGAGCGACACCCCGCGGCAGCAGATCATAACCGGGCTGGCAAGAACAGCGACACGAAGCAGGTTCTTCCCCAGCTTCCTTCTCAGCCTGGTCCCTCAGGCCAGCTTCTTCTTGAGGAACTGGCTCCTCAGCAGCAGGATCCAAGGAATCCATACAACCCATCCGGCTCCCAGTACCCCTTCAGTTTTGCTACACAGAGCAAGTACAGCATCTTAAGCTTTATTTTTCTATTGGCCAGCAACTTAAACTGGGTTAAAAAAAAAAAAAGCAATGAATATTATTACACAGAGAAAAAGTATAAAATAACTCAACGGACACAAGCCAACTTACTGTTCACAACTCATTCTTCCTGGCCTCTCCCAACCCTGTACAACGTATTTGAAGGGAATGGGCGTCTATGATTCTACTGAGCCACGCAGGTCTGTCTCTTCAGCATGTGCCAACACATTAGTGGGGTTTTTTTAGCAGAAGTCCCTGCTCTGAGCAGAGCGCAGGCCAGGTCAAGCCCCTCAGCCTCAGTCTTGTATGACCAGTGCCTTGCTGCAACAGGAAAATCAGGCACATTGCCAGGGCTGGAAGGAGCAACCTTCCCTTCCAGGCGAGGGAACACCAGCGTGACCTGTACTGCGCTTCCCTGGGGCTTGGTGACACCACGGCCCTGCTGCTCACAGAGCCAAGCACCTTGAATTAGATTCACTTGAGTTACAGGAGCTGAATTCACAGCGCACTGTGCTGAGCCCCGAGAGCCACCGAGCGGCCATGCCCACGAGCTGCAGGCAGGCGTTCCCATCTGGCTGGATATAGGCATATTTGAAACTTGTAATCTTAAACCTTAAATCCCCAAGGGTAAATAAAAAAGGGCACACATCTGCTCCCTCTTTTTGGCATGCCTGTGATGCAAGGTGGCTACAAGCTGCCCCACAGCATGCAGAACAAATAGGGCACACCAGCACATAGCACCCTCACGCCCCCCCGTCATCCCACAGCGGTAGGACGAGGCAGCCCCACTGCAGCAGCCCACCGATGTCCTCATAGTCAAGATGGAGAGGGGAAAGATTTCCACTGTCTTTGGGGTAAGTGGAAACAGGGTATAGGAGAGCACAGCAGAGCCCTGAGCCAATTCGTATCCTGAACTGGTCGCCTTAGGCAGACCTGACTGGTAACCACAGGCAGCAGCTAGGCCAACAAGGTGAAGGCAAGTTAACGCGACGGGAAAAGCCCTGTTCTGTCCGCCTCAGCACTCTGCACGTGATGAGAAAGTGCAGTCTGTGTCACAAGGCTAAGAGAGGTCACCGAGTACCCCAGTGAGCGCAGTTAGGGGTACCACAGCCCCCGGAGCAGCGCTGGGCGCGCACACCTCCACGCACAGACGTGCAACACGTGCTGACGTGCAATACCTGGTACCCTGAGGTTCTGCAACTTCAGCTCTTGGGGTGCCACACGGAGCGACACCCCGCGGCAGCAGATCATAACCGGGCTGGCAAGAACAGCGACACGAAGCAGGTTCTTCCCCAGCTTCCTTCTCAGCCTGGTCCCTCAGGCCAGCTTCTTCTTGAGGAACTGGCTCCTCAGCAGCAGGATCCAAGGAATCCATACAACCCATCCGGCTCCCAGTACCCCTTCAGTTTTGCTACACAGAGCAAGTACAGCATCTTAAGCTTTATTTTTCTATTGGCCAGCAACTTAAACTGGGTTAAAAAAAAAAAAAGCAATGAATATTATTACACAGAGAAAAAGTATAAAATAACTCAACGGACACAAGCCAACTTACTGTTCACAACTCGTTCTTCCTGGCCTCTCCCAACCCTGTACAACGTATTTGAAGGGAATGGGCGAAGGCAGCTATGAAGATATGCTTAAGAAACTAGAAACATTGCTTCAAGCAACATGCTCAATATTTTCCTCTTAGTTAGTAGTCAATACTTGTCAGGAACTTGATTATAAAATAAGAAATAATTTAGAGATTTCTCCTTTAGATCATTACACAATAATTTAGATTTCTTTCCCCTCTCTCCTACTGCTGTGGAACCAAGGATACACCCCAGTTCCTCCACTTCTCTCTCGGCATTAGTTAAGGATTATTTCACAGGGCTAATGTTGATGGGAGAGTTTCAGATTGACCTGCTCTGAATTTTAACTTGTCACCCTCTAGCGCTGGTCTAAGATTTCTGCTCTGCGAACTAAAAACCCCATGATCCTGCAAGACCCTTTAGGGGTCTGGGTGATTTTGCTCATGTTAACTGTCTGCTGCCAAGGGACAGAGCTCAGCCAGGAGAGGGAATAAATTTGTTTGTTTATAAAAGGGCTTGTCTTCACTGCTTAGCAACACCAAAATCCCACAGCCCTTTCTGCTTCGCAGGTGTAACAGGCATACCAGGAAGGCAAGAACAAGACAAGAGGCACGCAAGATCCTACGAATTCAGACTAAGACCCTGTTGGCATCATGATGGCACTAAGTCAGTGGCAGCGGTGACGTCTATGTCCTGTATGTATCCAGGATCCCAATGCAGAGAGAATATTTAATTAAAAGCCACTCCTCTGCAGCAAACTGACAGTTAACCCAGCACTACCAATTTACCCAGTACACTAGGGCAACTGGCTGAAGCTGACTCTCCTGACCTTCTTGGTAGTAAACAGTAAAGTGGGCTTCCAGATCTCATTAAAGTCAGAAAGCCCTCAGCTGATTAATGAGCTCTTTGGAGGCTGATAAAACATTGGTATATATTCATTTCCTGCCCAAGAGAGACAAGCCTGGAGGTTTTACTTAGAAAAAAATCAAGCCAAGGGCATCTCTCAACATGGAAGAGATGCAAGAAGGTATTTCCAACGAGCCGAACAGGCCAAAGGGTAGCAAGATATGCCAGCTCCACAAACAGACCAGTTCTTCACCAAACCTAAGCAGCGGATAGGTAGGAAGAAACAAAGTTTTCTCACTCACACTGGAAGCCACTCAACAAAACAGACTAGACCCAAAAAGAATTAGAAAGTAGTCCATCATCTTTGCTCCAGAATCGCTAGGAGGCAAAAGGCCTCTTGTGGCTCCTATGGCACTGTGTTGGGGGAAGCTTCAAGGAAGAGGAGGAAGGATTGCTGAGAAATCCTAAGGCACCCACATCTTAGCAACATCAGAGTCATGACAAGATTTCAACTGCACAAAGTTGTGTTCCCAATCAGCAGGGAGAATAGCTCCAAGGCATCCTCTTGGGTGGAGAACAGCTATGTTAGGACATTGGTGCACACTTGGGAGGAGGGAGAGAAATCTTTCCATGGATGAGAGACTCAGCTCTGGCTCCAGCTCAGCACAGAAACATCATCTGTCCTCACAGTCAATGCCTGGTGCTGCTGAGCCACTTCTCAGAGAGCGAACCGTGGTTCTTGTATAGCATCCTGATACCTTCATGTTGGCTCAGGAACAGCCTCAAGAGAAATGGCCCTGGATAAATCTTGCTTTGCAGGTATATCAAGGGACTGTTTCGCTAAAGCTTCTAGCAGAAGATCCACAGCTCTTTTGTTTCTTGACAATGAAGAGGACCTGCTGAGCTCCTGGCTGCCTTGTTCACAACAAGGAGGGCGACTTCCCCCCAAAGGGGCAGGTAAGGTGGTGCATGGTTTGACAGGCATTTAATTACAGAGCCAAATCCTCAGGTTACAGACACTTCTGTGGTTGTGGTGGCGAGTGGTCAGGTTGGCAGGTGCTAAGGGAAGTGGCAGAGGGGGAGCAACAAAGTTCCTGCAGCTATTAATATGGTTCTGGCTTTAAACTCTTGTACAAGCAGCAGGTGAAAATCATCCCAAAGATCTAGGGAGTGTAAAGAGAAGAGAGAAATGCATAAAAAACCAGAATGGATGCAGTGGAGGCAGCAGCTTGCTAACTAACAGCCTGGACCCAGATTGGAGCGGCAGCTAGCTCCTGCCTGGGGATACCACACTCCAGTTTGCAATAAGCAGCAGGAAAGAACATAATCTCTGCTAATCCTCGTAATTAATCACCAGCAGCTTCTCTGGGGTGTAATTTGGCTACTTGCCAGAACAAAGGGGAAGATGAGGAACTCCCAAAGACTTCTACATCTGGAAGAAAAGACTATCATGTGCCCTGCCCTCTAAAACGGGAGTGGGCGGCATCCATATCCTACCCCGTTATTCATCACCCCTCTCCCAAATCTTTCGCAGACCCACAGTGCTGTTCTTCAATATGACACAGCTGAAGGAGAGATTCTGGATGACTTAAAATAATTCTAATGAAGGGGGTAGGAAACTCCCCCAGACAGGCTCTTCAGCTGCGCGGGCAATCACAGCACCTCCCCACAAGAGGTCTCTCTCAGGCTGCCAAACTGTCTGCCGTGGCCAGCTCTGCCTTCCCACAGCCCTGGAGCAGCAGCCTCACCCTCTTGCCCAGCTGGTTGCACTCCTTCACCAGAAGCAAGGTTTACAGACTGGCAGAAGAGGCTTTTGCTTTGGAGCTACAGAAACCTCGGGTCCCAGAAGTACCTGGCAACTTCTCCTTACCAGGCAAGGAAAAGCCTAAACCACTCAATTTTTAACCATCCTTCAGATCTGGCGTTCCTTTAAGTTCTGCCCAGCACCCCCAAAACTCCACTCAGCCCTTTTACCTGCACGCAAGCAATGCTGATCCCCACTGCCCCGATAATTTTCAGATGCTCTTGAATGAAGTTTTCCAGCTTGGTAATGCAACCACTCTGTAGGGTGAAAGGAGGGACATGGAATATCAGCTTCATTTTAACCTCTTGTTCACTTTAATCCAATGGTTGAGACAAAAGCAGTGTCTGTGAGCAATCCCTTCCCGCAACATCACTGGAAAAGCTACACGGGTGATGTCAACTGCATCATGTTTTGTACTGCTCTGGACCTACTGGCTCAGGAACCATCAAACAAACCCAAGGCAACTGCTAGCTGGGCAGGAGGAATGCAGAAGAGGAACCAGCCACATCACACGGAGGGAGCATGTAATTTTTCTCCGAGATATGTGGAGAAAGGTTCCCTCGCTCACTGCCTAGCACATGCCTGGAGAGGGCGTTCACTCCTGTCAGGCCAAAAGGCCAAGGAAATGCTGCTGAGTGGATGCAGTACCAAGACCTCTAACGTGACAGGAGCCTTCTAGGAGTAAATTCCTCCCACTGTGATTTACGACAGCAATGAGTTTCAGTGTGAACCTGGAAAGCTAGGCTCTGCCTGCCTCTACCTTGCAGCTGCATCCTTGGCTGGCAGCATGACCTTTTCCTCCCTGTTTCAGGCCCAAGTTTTTGTTGTCATAAGGCAAAAATAAATCAGTAAGAGCAATCTCTGTTGCTTTTTTCGGGGGGAGGGGGGTGGGAGTTCCCTTTATATAATTAAATTGTTTAATCTATTGAGGCAGGTTTTCCATGGTAACATCAGGGCAAATTATTGTGTAGGCTACAGCAGTGCCCCAAGGGTGCTGGGGCCCTCCTGCCCCAGGAGCTTACAGTGAACACAGACACTTACAGGCAGGCAAGCAGAGGGAAGGAGTGAGCACACAGGCCTCCAGGGAGGGATGGCAAAGGCCTCGCTTTTCCCATGCCAGCATTAGGTTTTAGAGTCAGCCCCACTGCCCTGATATGAAATAGCTACTCCTGTTCCCTGATCTGGCCCTTTTCTAGGTTTTTCTTCCCCAAAGACACTAAAATCCTTTCTGAACTCTGACCGAGACTTCATATCATGATATGCAGCATCTGACTGTGGATCCAGACATCCCATTACAGCGTTTTCTCCTCCAGAGCTAGCCCACACATTTGGCAGCCTACAGGGCCTCTCTTAATAATGCAACTGGGCAGCCACCTCCAGCTTCATGTAGCACAGAAAGAGGATGGGAATTGTCAGCCCTGCCCCTCAAATAGTTGTGGATTTCCACTCTCAGAAATACCTCATCAGCCCTTGGACTCTTTTCTGCACTCCCTCGTTGGGTCTTGCCTGGAAGGCACAGACCCTATGGGAAACCATTCTTCCTGAAGAGCAAAACCCAGCCAAGCAGCTGGACATAAGAGGGGCTTTGGTAGATCAGAAGGACTGGACTTCATCTCCCTATTCATTCCACAAAGACAGATAGTTGGTTTCCTTTTAGCTGTTTGAGTTGCTTGGCTTAACGTAGATGTTATTCACACTGCTCTTCTGAGTCCTGCTCAAAGCACCAACTATGAGAAGAAATACCTGCCCTGAAGGGGCTACCACTTCACCCACAGCCCTCTTTAACTGTCAGGGGGACAGGAACAAGGAGAAAGCTCCAGTTGCTGCTCAGGCTCAATACAGCCAGCCAAGGTGCTGGTTCCACTGATGAGAAAAAGGACTACGCTACCCCATAGAGAGTGTCACAGCGAGCAAGCTAAAGCCAGGTGACAGGACTGGAGGGTGCCAAAATAAATGCAAGAACTTTTACCAGCCTTATGCAAACTGGATGAATAAATGGTCTAAGAGTTACCAGTTTACTTACTCAGCTACTCTGGGATTCAATCTGCTTCTTCTAGAAAAGAGGCAAGCCCCTCTATCTCAAGTCTAGCCTTCTTTTCAGCCCAAACTGCATCCCGCTGGAACTGGCCTAATTGGTCTGCTACAGGGCCCTCTTTCTTCCCCATATGCTGTTTCTTCATGCTGTAGGTGAAATCCTACTGTCTCAATCAAGGACCATCTCCATTTGCACCTCACCGAGCGATTCCAACAACAGGAAGCTGCGTCAAATGTAGGGCTCACATCCAAGTCTCTTGCCAGAACCAACCACCTCTCCCACTTCCCCCTATCACTAGTATACTCTGTAGTAACAAATATAACTTAGTATTTTTCTCTATATCTACATAAAAAATAATAGCTCAACTATAGAAATTAATTCTGCTTTGTAAGGAATCCTACTGACTTTGAAGCCTACCAGCAGTTTGCAGCCATAACCCAACACTCCCTGCCCACCTCCTTTACATACTTTGTGACAAGTGGCTCTGAAGCTCTTTTGGTCTTTACCTCCTTGTAGATGTTGGAAGGATGGTCTCTTCGGCCACACAGGTCGGTTATCGTCTTACAGCAGCTGTCTGGGACTTTCCGTCCATTGGCCTCTGGAGATTTGATCCACAGGCTGTCGGCCCAGTCTGTGTGGTTGTTGCTCCCACAGCACTTGAACTGCATTGCATACAGAGCAGAGGCTGAGCCTGCAAGCACTGCAACCTCCTCCTCCCTCCAGCCTCCCACGCCAAGCCCTGGGCTTCACCCTCCTTTGCAGAGAGACTCCAGCTACCTCATGGGCTTTCTTTTCGGGTTTTAGGCTACTACAGTTATTAGTGACTTTTGTGTTAAGAGTCCCCAAGATGGCCTTTAAGTATCAGCTTCATCCATCTTTCAGCAGCTGTGACTCTTAGTTACTGCTGTCATGAACTGTGACCAGAGCGCAGCTGCCTCAGCTCTTAACCACCAGACTGGAGAGTGTTAATGTTGGTAACAAGGTAAGTTTAATTACCAGTTACTATGGCAAATGCGCCTGCTATGGCAGTATGCATACAGTAGGCCCCATGCTTTGAGAGTGCCTGTGCACAAGGTTCCTCCCTGTGGGAAAGCCTGTCAGAACTGCGGCGGCCCTAACCCGAACCACCCCTGAGCCAGGCACAGCTAGCAACAGCGGCAGGAAGGCTCTTCTTTCATTACATCTTGCTCTCTAGGGTACTGAGGAGCTTAATGAAAAATGTCGGCAATTTCTCCAAAGCTTTGAAGTGGGAAGTAGAAATAGCTGTCAGAGTGACTTTGCAGCTCCAGTTCACTCTGGGAGCAGTTCGGGATGTTGTTTCTTCAGTGCTACTGGGCATGCAATTCAGAGATCACACCCTGCAATTCTGCTGATTGCACGGCCCAGGCCCTGCACCCCACCCGACCTTGTCTTGAACCAGAAGAAGCAGAACTTACACTCAGCATACAGAAGAAACATCTGTATGTTGGATGTTAAGAGCCCACAATTCCTTTTGTGTGCTTGATTTTAAGTCCTACAATTGCATTAATTCTCCCTGCCTCTACAGATACCTACCTCCTGCTGCAGTTTGTCCACTGCGCTGGTAACACTCTCTTCTCCTTCCTTCTGGTATTTCTGGGTCATGGTGTTCTTCAAATTTTGCTTCAGCTCCATGCTCAGCTGAATGGAAGAGACAGTGGGATAAAATCACAAGGCAAACTTATCCCTCAGAGCGACCCAGAGCCCTGCGTATGTTTCATTGCCTTTGCTCCAAGAGAAAAGCAGAGAACCTAGTGGAAACTACAAGATTCCTTCAAGATCATCCTCCAAGGCTGGACTGGACAGGCTTATTTCCAATTGATTACAGATCATACATCCGTTTTAATAACTGGAAGGATGTGTTTCAGGACCAAATTTCAGCCTGTGCTACACATCACCATATGGGTCCTCACCTTGAAAATGTAAGATTGCCAAGATATACCTGCATCAAAAGAGAATACAAAACTGTGCCTGCTTAAATATGAATATTCCTATGAAACCACGTGCAGTCTCCTCCCTCTGAAGCCTGCGACAAAATAGTAAATAACAAATCACTCTGTCCAGGGAGCAGGAAGAAATCAGAATCCTGGGCATGCTGGACTGAAGCCATGTAGTCTGAACAGCTCTTGTATCGGCATCAAAAAGGATGCCACAGGAGGGAATAAAGTGTGCAATTGCAGAAGTACTGCAAGGCCTTTCTTGGTAACAGTGACAGAGAGACAAAGCCTGATTTTGCAAGTACAGAATTTCTGAAAGCATCATCATTAACCACTGGCATGTTCAGGTGATTGGCTTCAAACATTTATTCCTGTGGAGGCTCTTGCAATCTAGCTGAATTCTTCTCACCCATCCAGCTGATAGCCAAAAAGTACCAAAGAGCTGCGTCTTTTTTTTGTCATCCTGGTTCTTACAGCAACACTGCTTTAGTCCAACACCTGTGAAATTCTAAGCTTCCTATACCAATAAACAACGTCAACATGCATTTCAGATAGAGTCAATGAATGAAACGGGTGGGTGGCCTCTCTACGCACCTTTTATTCTACAAAGTAAGTAGTAAATGAGAGGTCAAACATCTGGTTATGCTGAACTGTGCAAAATACAGTCTGCAGTTTATTCTCCCTTTAAAACACTGTTTTTTCCAACCCCACGTGTCAGATGGGGACAACACCTACCTCACAGAGACGATATGAGGCTTCATTCATTAATATTTGCAAAATGCTTTGAGATCCTGGGCTGGGAAGCTCTACAGAAGTGCAAAGGACTTAGTGTAATGAAAAGAAAGGAAAAGGTTCAG